GCACTTTGTACCTACCAAATCCTGATAAAAACTTCCGGCTGTACTAGCCAGGATGGCGTGGCCTGACGTGAGCGAGTTAAAATTTTCGTGGACATCAAACAATAAGGGAAACGACTAGAGTTACGCTTCTGGTATAACTTCCTATTCTGTGGCCCTGGTGCCAATAGTGCCATCTTGAGCACAGAATAGGAAGTTATACCAGAAGCGTAACTCGAGCAAATATTTGTCCGCGTTTTTACAAGCGATTCGTCATCAATCACGCCATCCTGGCTAGTACAACCGGCACTTTGTACCTACCAAATCCTGATAAAAACTTCCGCCTGTACTAGCCAGGATGGCGTGGCCTGACGTGAGCGAGTTAAAAATTTTCGTGGACGTCAAACAATAAGGGAAACGACTAGAGTTACGCTTCTGGTATAACTTCCTATTCTGTGTCTTGAGCTTGTTGCTTCCAAAATCCAAAACGAATAAACGATTACAAATATTGATGTATTGTCCGCTGTTTTTATACAGCTCTTTATACTGGAAGATTGTTTAAATAATCTACACCGAAAAGGGAGTTAGATATATCACATTGTGTGTAAAGTTTATAAAACGGATCTGCTTATCCCGAGACGAGTGCAAAGAATTTTCGAGCTTGTTCGGAAATTTTGATTTCCAATTTGGGGTGGACTTTCAGGCACGATTCAGGTTTGTTTGCGTATTTTAGTTTTCTTTAATTAAGTTTACGTATATTTATTCAGTTATGCTTGACTGCATTTACGTTATAAATTGTTGAAGTTACCTTTTCGATAGTTTTTCAGTCTTTTTTGTTCAAAAATACAGTAATAGTACTCTGAACTTTCAACAATGCCGACAAGAATGCCAATGGCGATTTTTTTACAGTCAAAAACATTACGCAAGCATTCAAAGGACGTTTTTTGCTTTGTTTGACTCAATATAAGTTTGAAAACCGGATAAGTGCATCCACAGATCTATTTTTGTTCAAAATATGTAAATTACAAACCCTGAACTTTATTTAAACTATAGTTACAGGGTTCGGAGTGAGTGTAAACTTTGACAACAACAATGGCGAGTTTTTTTACAGTCAAAAACATTACGCAAGCATTCAAAGGACGTTTTTGGCTTTGTTTGACTCAATATAAGTTTAAAAACCGGATAAGTGCATCCACAGATCTATTTTTGTTCAAAATATGTAAATTACAAACCCTGAACTTTATTTAAACTATAGTTACAGGGTTCGAATTGGGGGTAACAGAAATGGCCATCTTCTAGTTGGCGGAAAAGTAGCAGCGTGAAAAAGACTTGTTTTTACCATAGGTTATAGGTAGCCCAACCATCAGTGGTATTAATGCATTTCTGTTCAATAAAATCATACGGAATTCTCTGACACAGAAAAAGGAAATGTTTGCCATTACGTGAAACATGGATTTAAAGAAGCGTTTATATTGTATTGGGCAGAGCAGTTTCAACCTGTCGAAAATACTGGCAAGCTAAGAACTTTTAGAAAAATTGAAAAAAAAACACTTTTTTTTAATGTGAAAAATACTTAAATGAAATTAGTAATTTCAAATATCGTCAAGCTGTCACAAAGTTAAGAATATCAGCACATAAGCTAACTGTTGAAACTGGTAGATACAACAATTTCCCATACAATGATAGACTATGCAGACTTTGTGAGTTAAATGAAGTAGGAGATGAACATCACTTTTTAATGTCTTGTACAAACATGAAGTTCATGGACCTCAGGACAAAATTCATTGATAACTTATATAAAATAAATAGGTTTTTCAACCACCCACCCCGAAAAA